TCCTCACCTGGCAGGAGTCGGTGTCGTCGCCCTCGCGGCCGCCGGCGCAAAGCATGTTGGGAGTGATGGCGCCGGGGTACAGGTGAGCGCAGGCGGCGTTGGACCAGGTGTACACAATGCCGCACTGCAGCACGTCCGGGAACGCACCTGGGGGCCCGACAGGTGAGGGGACAGGTGAGGGGACAGGTGAGGGGACAGGTGAGGAGACAGGTGAGGAGACAGGTAAGGGATGGATGTGGCAGGTGAGGGATTGATGGGACAGGTGAGGGAATGGGTGGGGGCACAGGTGTGGGACAGGTGAGGTATTGATGGGACAGGTGAGGGGACAGGTGAGGATGGGAGAAATTGGGATTCATGGGACAGGTGTGAGACACGTGAGACAGGTGAGGTATTGATGGGACAGGTGAGATGGGGGACAGATGTGGGACAGGTGAGGGGTGGGACAGGTGTGACAGGTGAGGATGGGTGGGAATGAATGGAGATTGGTGGGACAGGTGAGATGGCTGGGACAGGTGTGGGACAGGTGAGACCATGGGACAGGTGAGGGGACAGGTGAGAGGGGTGGGACAGGTGAGATGGGGATGGGGACAGGTGAGGGACAGGTGAGGGGTGGGACAGTTATGGGGACAGGTGTGGAACAAGTGTGGGACAGGTGGGACAGGTGAGGGGACAGGTGAGACAGGTGAGGGATTGATGGGACAGGTGAGGGGACAGGTGAGATCATGGGACAGGTGAGACAGGTGTGGAGACAGGTAAGGGATGGGACAGGTGTGCAATGGGGATTGATGGGACAGGTAAAGGACAGGTGGGACAGGTGAGGATTCATGGGAATGAATGGGGATTGATGGGACAGGTGAGGGACAGGTGGGACAGGTGAGGGAATTATGGGACAGGTGAGACAGGTGAGACAGGTGGGACAGGTGAGAATGGATGGGACAGGTGTGGGACAGGTGAGACAGGTGAGGGGACAAGTGAGGGGACAGGTGGGACAGGTGAGGGAATTATGGGACAGGTGAGACAGGTGAGACAGGTGAGAATGGATGGGAATTAACGGGGATTGATGGGACAGGTGAGGGGACAGGTGAGATCATGGAACAGGTGAGGGATTGATGGGACAGGTGAGGTGTGGGACAGGTGAGGACAGGTGAAACAGGACAATATGCATGGGACAGGTGAGACCGATTCGATGGATGGGACAGGTGAGGGGACAGGTGATATGGGTGGAACAGGTGGGACAGGTGAGGGGTTGATGGGACAGGTGAGGGGAGAGGACAGGTGAGACAGGTGAGGGGACAAGTGAGGGGACAGGTAAGACAGGTGGGATAGGTGACAGGGGTGGGACAGGTGAGACAGGTGAGACAGGTGAGGGAATTATGGGACAGGTGAGACAGGTGAGACAGGTGAGAATGGATGGGAATGAACGGGGATTGATGGGACAGGTGTGGGGACAGGTGAGGTACAGGTGGGACAGGTGGTACAGGTGGGACAGGTGGTACAGGTGGGACAGGTGTCCCCTCCCTCTTTCCTCC